AGCATGTCAGTCCATCAGTGTGGTATGGATGACCTGAAGAGCAGAGTTGTCAGAGATGCCAAACAAAGCATGCTCCTTTGATTTTTATGGTAGCTATTTTCAAGGTAGGATAGAATTTGAATATCTAGCCTGGGAGAATTTGAATATGGCCTTTATTGATGGCTTCATTACCACGTATATTTAAAAATCACTTTGTCATTATCTGAAGGTAAGCTAGAATTTGAATATGTAGCATGGGATAATTTAAATATGGCCTTTCTCAATGGCTTCAATACAAGTATATTTATCGAATAACCAAATAAATAGCCTTTTCACAGGATGAAATGGAGCAGGATATAACTTCAGATAATGAAAAACTGAATTTTAAATGAATACCTCTCACAACATGTATGTTTTCACCACTTTTTGGATTCCATATCCTCAGGGATGCATCATCAGAACCAGTACAGATTGTTTTACCTGAAGCAACAGCAGATAGATTTGAAAAAAAAAAATGAAATAGAAAGAGATAGATCAAAAGCAAGCTAAGAGAAAGTTCTTCAACAAAAAAAAAAAGCGTTCCAAGACAAAGAGTAGTTAGATACCATCAGGGGTAAAATCACCACAGGTAACACTTGCTTCATGTCCTGTAAATGAATTAAGATAGGCAACTTTGTCAGCATTCCACATCCAAACACTTTTGTCCTCAGAACCTGCCAACACCAAATGCCCTTTTGGATGCCATTTGACCCACTGAGAAACCACATGGTTGATAATCAGACTTAAAAACATAAAACAAAATAAATTAGTTCCACTAAATTCAGTCCACAAGTTCACCTCAATGCCCTCATCAGGACCTTCGAGTACACATTTATGGTTTCCTGATGAAGCATCCCAAATTTGAACAAGTCCATCAAACCCTCCAGATGCAAGCAACTGTCCATCACTACTAAAGGATAAACAAGACACAGAATCCTTATGACCTGTCAATATTTCCAAAAGGTTAAGTAATAAGGAACCAAGATCAAAATTATGTGCATATAACAAGCACAGATATAGGTGCAGAAAAAGACCTCAGCTTCATCGATGGGCATTATAGCAATATCAGGACACACAGAAAGTTTCAATGAATGCGGGATTATATCACTAATCAAAAGAAGAAACATAGCAGGTTGCTCAATCATGCTACAAAGCAAACTATGAACAATTTCTAACACCAAAGATTCCTACGACTAACAGATATCCCCATGATATATGGGATCATTTTAGCTCTCCTAACTCAACTATACCTTTGAGCTCAGATGCCCAATCTCCAAGACCAATCTTCCAAAGAAACCCTTTGTCGTCTCCTCCACCGGTCGCCACTAATAAAGGATCTGTTGGACTGCAGGATACTGTATAGAGCTCCCCTATATGCAAATAATAATAATAATAAATACTCCATTACTTCTCTTCCTGAACAAATGCAAATGCTCCATTTCATTAGTCCAACAAATTAAAACAAAATAAAGTTTTATAAATACGTTTTTTAGCCAGTAATTCAAAACTATTGATTTAATTATAAAATTAATTAATTAACTAATTGCATAATAAAAAGATGGAGAATTCCAAAAAGAAAATTTTTTACCGGTATGGCCGGTAAATATGTGCATAGAATCATCCGTGTCGTCGTCGTCATCATCGTCGTCCGCATTAGGAAGATCTACGAATTAGTGAAATATATATCAATTTAATATCAAATCACAGCTTGATTAAGAAATAAATTAATAGAGCATGCATTTTTTAGTTATACCTTCTTCATCAACAGCGACTTCGTCGATGATATCGGAATCGTCAAGGAAAACTTCGCCTTGATCGTCTTCGTCTTCGTCGTGTAATGATCGATTTGGACTATTCATTTTTGTGTTTTTAATTTCGATCTCTGTGCTTGCCGATTCCTTGGCGTCGTCTGCTGGAGAAGAATGAGAGGTTTTAGCTAGGGTTTTATTCCTATTATCGTTATTGCAGTTACTGGTTGGAGTGGCGCGTGAAAGTACTGCCAGTATTATTTTTGTTTTCCAGTTGAATATTACACATGGTTCTTTTGAGCGTAGTCGATAAAGCTGATAGGGGTGTTTAAAAAAATTGAATAAATCGATTAAATCGAGAATCTCAGAAAAAAAATTAAATAAATTAAATAAAAAAAATTAATTAAACCAATTAAAATTTTGAAAAAACCAGCCAGTTTGGTTCGGTTTTAGTTTTATAATCAAAAAACCAAAAAACCGAACCAAACTAGAAAAAACCGAGCCAAAGCCAAGAAAACTGAGCCAAAGCCGAGAAAAACCGAGCCAAACTGGAAAAATCGAGCCAAACCGATTTGAACCGGTTTTTCCCTTAAAAAACTGAACCGAACTGAACCGAAACCGGTCGGTTTGACCCGGTTTCGGTTCTGTTTTGTTTTTTTTTAATTTTTTTTCCGGTTTGGTTACTTTTTTGATAAAAACTTAACCGAACCGAAAATGAACACCCCTGGTGAAACATTATTTTTAGTTAAATATAATAAAATATTAATTTGATAAAATTATTTAAATAAATAAACTTGATTTAAACTTAGCTAGGTAATTGGCGGGTTTTTACGACGATTCAGTAATTTAAATTATTTTTTAGTTGATTTTTAAATTAAATTTAATAACTTTACTTTTAAATTATTATTATTATTTTTCTTCAAATTACATGATTTTTCTAGGATTATATATTCCAAAGTGTATTAATTTTTCCTTTTTAATATTGTTATATAAATTATAATTTGATTTTAAAAACTATATCCAAATATGTACTTTGAGTATATATGAAGATTTAATTTCAAGATTTGTATAAAATAAATATTTAATTAAATTAAATAGTTAAATAATACACATTATTATTATTATTAGAGTCACGCTACCACAGATAGCTCAATCTCTATTAGCCCATCAACGTCCTCCACATGTCAACTCCATTATCCCCAATACACGCAGATAAGTGGCTGTCATCTTGTTTTCTACCAAACAAGATAAAGCCCGCTTCCACCACCCTCCACTCTTTCTTACCCACCAATCCCCACCGTCCATTCCTCTCAAAACCCCCCCTCTCCACAACTCTCGTCTCTCAAAAACACTTCACCAATCAACTGAAGAAAAAAACTCTCCGCTGCCCCATCTCTCTCTCTCTCCACTGTTGCTGGCAACATGGCTTCAGCACTCCAAAACGCCACCGCTTCACTCCAATCCAAAAACCCACCATCAGCTAGACTCCCAACCAACTTCACCTCTCCAAAACCCCTCAACCTCTCCTTCTCAGCCACTTTCCCATCCGTCAACCTCTCCACCACCGCAGGCACTACAAACCGCCGCCGGGGTAGCTCGGCCCTGGGGACCAAAATGTCGGCTACAGCAGCAGGAAGTTACGCATCAGCACTAGCTGACGTGGCAAAATCCAACAACACGCTAGACGCAACGGCGTCCGACATCGACAAAATAGAAAGACTGTTTTCAAACCCAGCAGCGAATGACTTCTTTGCTAACCCAACAATAGACTTAGAAAAAAAACGGCAAGTCATAGATGAGTTCGCTAACTCGTCTGCTCTCCAACCCCTCACGGCAAACTTCATTAACATCCTTATAGATTCCAAAAGGGTTGATCTGGTTAAAGATATAGTGGCGGAATTCGAGAAGGTTTACAATAAGCTGACAGATACACAGCTTGCTGTGGTGAGTTCAGTTGTGGCTTTGGAGTCACAGCATTTGGCCCAGATAGCAAAACAAGTGCAGAAATTGACTGGAGCTAAGAATGTAAGGATTAAGACTGTGATTGACCCAAGTTTGGTTGCTGGGTTTACTGTAAGGTATGGGAGCTCAGGGTCTAAGTTGATTGATATGAGTGTGAAGAAACAGTTGGAGGAGATTACTGCTCAGCTTGACTTGAGTGATATTGAACTGGCTGCTTGATTTTAGACACCTTTTTTTTTAATTTCTTTTCTGGTAAATTATGTGGGTTCTTTTTTTTCTTGGGATTAAATTGTTGTTGTAGTATGGATTTTGTAATAGATTTATTATTGGAATGGAATGTATTTCAATGTCTTCCTGTCTTTTGGCAACAATTCTGAGGCTTGGCTTCTTTTTTTGGCAATGATGCTTTGAATAGAGAATCTGAATTTGAGGGTTGTCTCTGCTTTGAAGAGAGGATTGTTTTTTCATAGAATTGTTAAATAGGGCTGAGCATGAAAAAAGGACTCAATTTTTGTTTGGATGGAGCCTCATTAAGGAAGGTGGAACAGGCTCCACCAAGATGAATTTGTTGGCCTGTTAGCAAGAAAAAGAAGATGTTGAAGTGAAATTCTCAAGAGTCATATGATATGATTTATTATTCTGTTTGTAACACAGTTTGATCATGGTACCTTAGTAGCTGCAACCTTCTGTTTAAGAAAGATGAGGTTCTCTCATCCCTGGTCACCGAAGGTTCACACAACAATATTTCAATTTACAGATCTTGTCTGCAGAACGAGCATGGCAATCTTTATGGAGAAGAGAGATCAGTGCTTCCATGTTATCCTAACATGAATGCTTACACACATGTCAGAAACATTGGCTCCTGCCAAATTAATATCTTGGACCTCAACATGCCATGACTAAACTTCGACCATTGCTGAGAAGAAAATTTAGAATCTTGCGAGCCTATTAACCAGAGCCCTAATAGATTTGTTCAAATGATGAACAAAAAACTCCATTAACTTGAAATCTCTAATTTGAGTTCCACCATTAACTTCTCAGAGAGAGAATGTAATTATATGTAATTAAGTTCATTAGAGTTCTTCTAAGTTTTGGCTGTGACGCGATGCTGTGGATCATCGCAGGAGTAGCAAGCTAGCTCAATTGTAATTAGGATAGATGCTTATGAGGTCTGGTCTCAACCTTTTATTTTGTGTTTAATATATCTTATCAACTTTCTACTTTATATTTTGACATTAAATAATAAGAATCATAGATATCTTACATCTTAAGAAAACAAGAAAACGACCAAACTCATTTACACATTTATTTATAATACTTCAACTACCTGTCTTCCCTCATTAGTGGACCGAACAGCTCGTGTTTCAGATTTTATCTTCTTTATATCCATATGTAGTGTTTAGTTTTTTATCTGGTCTCTGATATTATTATCAAAAATAAGTAATCATGTCGATCCTGGATTCCTTCTTCGACAAAGGCTTTAAAGCTGCCAAATGGTAATTCATTCTATCCTTCTCTATTTTGTTTTTGGGTTTTTGTTTTCTTGCTTTAGTCATGGTTCAATTTGGGTTTTGCTTGGTTTCTGAGAAAATGTTAACTTCAGTAAGGAAATTCAGAACTTAACGTTTCATTAAAATCAAGTGACTTAACTCAATGTGCAATCTTTTCATTTTTTAATTTGTTCTTCTTTGCATAAATTAAAGAAATAAGACACTATAAAAAGTTGAGAATTAAGAATCTGGGTACTTATCTCGTATGTTGTAGATATTTGGTTAATGTAAAAAGTAAATAGAATTCATTGAAGATTTGAAGGGTTCGTACTTTTTTTTGAGTGCTTATGTTTTGGTTAAATGCTATCGTTGATTTTTTTTCCCGGGGTTTAAAGATTTGATGAGGACTGTTGTTGTTTTAATTTGTTCTTCTTGTATACAGTAAAACCTTACTGAAGTTGACAATACCCCGGATAAAGCTGTTGAGGAACAGGAGAGAGATTGAGATAAAGCAAATGCGCCGCAACATTGCTAAGCTTCTTGAGACTGGTCAAGAAGCTACTTCTCGCATTCGGGTATTGCTACTTTTCTTATTGAAATCATTTTTAATAGTATGAACAGGTTTTTTGTTTTTAGTCTCTTAAGATACCTGAAAAAGGAATGATCTTGTGGTGTTGTTGATAATTACATATCAGGTGGAGAATATTATAAGAGAGGAGAATATGATGGCTGCTCAAGAGATCATTGAATTGTTCTGTGAGCTTATTACTGTGCGCCTTCCAATTATCGAAACACAAAGGTTATTCCTCACATTACATTATCTGGCTTTCACTATGTTTTTTTCCGGTTTGTTAATGCACTCTCCTGTTGGATACTTGTCTTAACTATGATGATGCCTTCTTCAAGGCATAAACTTAGATTTATTAGTTTGTTTTTGTTCATATTGTTATTTGCTTAACTAGAGATATTTCCGTCTGTACGAGTTTTTATAGGTTCATTAACTGTATATCATATCTAATGAAAGGTTTACTGGTAATATAGCTTGTTTTCCCTTAAAGTAGCGGGTTTAAGGAAGGAAAAAAAAGCCCTTTCCTGAATACCAGAGAAACAAAAGGTTGAGGAAATCGAAGGAGAAAGAAGTAATCATTGATCAAAGTACTGATATTCAGTTATTTATGTGGAAAAGGATCAGAGTAGCATAAGATAGGATGGTTTTATATGTTTTCACTTTTCCAAGATTTCTACTCAATTCATGTTGCACCGCATTACTACAGACAGGCTATATCATAATGTAGGATATATCTACACTGCCCTGGGCTGTCCAGCTTTAACTCTGGAGATTCACCGTTTCATGGTCTAGGATGAAAACCTGATCACTTTCCAGACTTCTTTTGGAGGGAGCAGCTTGTCACAGTCTTTGATATTTCTGCTTTACCATAGAAACTCTAGGCTGTTGTCTAAATGCTGAATTTGCAATAATTGTTTAAGCTCAAGTATATTATGAACTGTTAAAGTTGAGAATTGGGTCAAAGTTGCCAGACAAACAGTTAGGAGGTTCAATGGTGATTGTTATCCTAGCGTTGCTATGACATGTTAATTGAGTAGTGAACCTGCAGATAAATCAGGTGAAGCTTCAACTCTGCCTTACCTTCTCGAACCATTATGGTTGTGGGTTGTCTTAAAATTTGCGGATAGTATCATCATTAAGAGCCTTCTTATAGACCCCCAAGTTAAGTCTTACAAAAATCTAACCTGTTATCTTCTTCGTATTGGATGTCCATTGTGGTTGGGAAGTCGATTTGTTCCATATCCTGTCAATTTTTCTTTATGGTTATACAATTTCATGAATGGCAACATCTGTGTAGCTCTGATAATTTATTTGTTTAATCCAGCTTGTACTAAATTTATACCTCTATGCAAAGTGAGTTGAAGACTCTTCATAGCTACTTGGAGCTAAGAACACCGCTCATTTTTCATGGATTGTATTTTTTGAATGTCATTTTTATTTTTATTTTTATTTTTATTTTTATTTTTATTTTTCAGGGAATGTCCTTTAGACTTAAAAGAAGCAATATCCAGTGTCTGTTTTGCTGCACCAAGATGTGGAGATCTACCCGAGCTGCTGCAGGTTCAAACCCTATTTGCTTTCAAATATGGAAAGGAATTTGTAGCTGCTGCAACAGAGCTTAGGCCAGCTTGTGGTGTTAATCGCCAGGTTTTTTGAATCTCTATCTTATGCCTAGATTTATTTCTTGCAACAAGTTCCTTTTCTTATGTTTATGCTTATGTTTCCTTTTCTTCTGACATTTTTCAAATTGAAATCCTGCAGTTAATACAACTCCTTTCAGTTTGTGCGCCTTCACCTGAAGCAAAGCTGAAGCTTTTGAAGGAAATTGCTGAAGAGCATGAGTTAGACTGGGACCCAGGTGCATCTGAAACCGAGCTTTTAAAAAAGAATGAAGATTTATTGGTGAGTAGTATGGTGCAACTGCCTGAATTCTGGTTATCTTTCCTTGTCTTACACGTGTTCTCTCATTGTCAGAATGGTCCAACAGATATCAGTGATCCAACACATCTCACGATATTGCCTCTTCCAAAAGAGGAGCATGATGAAGTACTTATCACTCCTGATCTTGCCAAGCATGAACAGTCTGATTCTGATACAGGCTTTGACCCATTAGATTTTCCTGAAGCTCCTGAGGTGTCACTGTTGCCAGGTGCAAATTCTGCCTCGGCATCAGGGATAGTACCACCTACACAAGCTGCTCTACACCCTGACATTGATCATGAATCATCAAATCACTATATGACTAACAAAGATCTATCACAAGAACCTCATATTGTACATCAGGATGTGATTGAAGAAAAGTCAGCAGCTACCAGGGATGAAATTTCAAGCACCGCGGCAAGTGCCAGGGAAGAAAGACAGTTTCTGTCATCCATTTCTCCCCCTTCACTATCCTCTCCATCATTTTCATCGCCACCCTCTGCACCGAGTACCAAAAGTGAGGTCAATGTGGATCTGCAGAATGTTTCAGCTACTGTGGAGACTGCTGAGCGTGCAACAATACCAAACTCTTCACCACCCCATGTAACGAGGACCGGAACTGAGGCTAATGTGGATCTTCAAGATGTTTTAGCTGCAGCACATGCTGCTGCTGAGACTGCTGAACATGCAGCAGCAGCAGCTCGTGCAGCAGCAACTCTTGCACAGGCAAGGATTAGTGAGCTAACCAAGAAAAACAGTGAGAGGTTACATGAGAGTGGCTATGATAACCCCTTTTTTGTGGATACTCCTGATCTATCAGCTTCTGCTGATAAGACACCTTTTGTTCACCAACATTCTTTTGGTGAAGGGGATAGTGTTCCAAGTTATAAAGACTTCCATCAACTTCATGAGGGCCACCAGGCATCAGAGTTGTTGGATATTCCTTCCTTTGAGAAACTTGAAGTGTATTATGATTCTCCTCGTAGTGATCATGTTGTTGAGCAAGGGTCTGTTAGTCCCCAGCCACAGAGATTGCCTTCAATGGATGATGAGCCATACTTCTCATACCCAAATTTGTTCGCATCACAGAACTCAAATCTTAGATGAAGTGCTCTATCTGCTACAGATCATTCCAATTCAATCCATGACGTTTGATTTTTGGGTCCTGTGCATTGGTTTGTGGAGAGTTGACTTAGTGCTGTGCAGTCATCGATGCAATTTGGGGTGAGCCATTTTCGTTGTTATTTGTAGAGTACAAGGTTACTAGTTGTTACATGTTCAATGAGGCTTTATCATTAGGAAATTTCAACTGCTTATTGTAGTAGAGAAGCCATCTCAGATGATTTGTGTGTTTTGTGTTCTGCGTTGATCAATTATAGGATTCATGTAAAAGAAACCTTATTCTGTCGCAGGTAATGAAGTTCATCTTTCCTTGAATTTTGACATTCAATAATTGTCCAGCCTTTGTAATTTTGTTAAACAGATTTAACAAAACCTTGTACCCGTTTATTTTTCCATCCGAGTTCATTTTATGAATGTGATGAATATTGAGCAACCGCTCATGACAACAACAGGATTTAGCTACGCTCAAACCATAGTTGATAAGCTAGTAACGCAAAAACTACAAGATATTTATCAATCCAGTTCTTGGTTGTTAGTCCAACAACTTAAGACAATAAGAGGTTTTTCCTAGTAGAGGGATTCAGGTCCGCAAGTTTTATTCTCTAGTACCAATCTCCAGGTCACAACAACTGTGACTTCTGTGACTTTGCCTCTTCCTTGTTTCCAAGCACTTGAAATCTCGAATCCATCCATGCTCATAGCCGTTGTTCATGGAAATGTTTTTCCAACTTCTCATTTGATACTGGCTTCGATTCGCAAAGTATCAATCAAGTTTCTGCTCCGTTGAGTTTTGCGTAAATATGGTGCTAGAACTGTATTGACTTAAAGAAGCTGTTCCAGTAAAGTGAACCTGTCTAGCGTTTAACTATCCCACATCGAAGAAAGACAAGAAGTCACATGAGGCGTGTGGTATAAATTAGAAGGCCTTAGCAACGTTATACATACTTACCTGGACGGGATCAATGGGTGATCAAGAAGGCCCATGGTCTAGGTCAGTGACCTCCATTGCACTGAGGAGGGGTGCTGGTCTAAGGTCTCCCCAAGAGGGAGAGCCTACGTCAAAATTTGTGGCAGAGGGGGCTGCGCGAGTCGCGGCCCCTACCAACTACAATCTAAATTTTCTCAAATCAGACGTTTTTTTTATTTAAGTAGGATGAGCGAGCGTTCAACTGTAAACCCAATTAAATACTAATTTTAACTAGGTTGAGGAAGGAATGAGGCTAGGTGCTGGGCCTGTAAGCCAGTTCCTCCCTTTACGATGTGTACTTGATTTTTTAAGCTGTAAACACTTCTAAATATTTATTAAATTAATGTGGTCTTTAAAAACATAAAAAATCACTTCAAACTTGAAATTATAAATTTTTCTAAGCTTTAATCTGTTTTTTTAAATACTTACAAAATAATAATAAAAACTCTTAATCTTAAATTTTCTTGCAAAAATATTTAACACAAATTTATGACTAAAATTATCTTCAACAATATCAAAATTTGATAAAGGTTTTTTCTCTCTAAAAAACCCAAATAAAAATTGATTTATTAAAAAAAATTAGAGGAATCAATTAATTGGAAGCCTAAATACAAAAAAGGACTAAAATCAATCTGTCAAACAAATCTTAAAGTCATAATTTATGTGTTTTTACTTCAATCTCGTTTTTTAATTCAACTATCCCTTAAAAAAACAGGTAATTAGATGCTAAAATTAAACTCAAAAGAGCTCAAGCAAAATAACAGGTGACCCAAAATCAGATTATTAAAAAAAATCACGGCTAAAATCAACAGTAAAAACACTAAATCTTTTTAGTTTTTACTTAATTTTCTGAAAAATAGTTTAATTGAAGACATGAGCTGAGCACTTGGAATTAGAACAGTCGGTGAGCAAACCAAAGAAGGCAGAAGTTCAGTAACAATTAATCCATCCAGACCACTTTCTCACTAAAAAATGTTTAAATTAGTAGCCAGCGTTCAATAGGGGTTCCTCTATGTACTTAAATTTGAAAAATTCACTACTCAGGCCTACTCTTCAATAAAATTGCAGGAGGCAAGATTGAACTGCACGGGCCGCAAGCAAATATCAGACTCCATTGGCAGCAGATGACACAAATTGCAGCTCAACAACACGACTCGTATGCACAAAGGTAATGAATACAATGGAGAATGGACTTACAAGAGACTTGAAATCAGGATACATTCATCAAATCGAAAAGACAAAAAAAAAAAGGGTAGCAAAATTATGATAAAAATAAAAAACAGGCAATATTTCCTCTCTTGTAACTGTGCCATGGTCACCTTGGACCAGATAACTCAACCGCATGCAGATTTTCTGTCGAGTCAACAATCCAATCAGAATTTGGATGAGGGGATAATTCTACCTCCTGACGAAGAACTTCTACCTTTAGCCACTCATCCCATCTCTCTGCTAAACCATCACCTTCAAGCATTCTCACCACTTCTGACATCTTAGGCCGCTCCATCGGGGTGCCTTGCGTACAAAGCAGCGCAACCTGGATTAGTTGCTCCACCTCTGCTTCCACATATTTGTTTTGGAGATCAGGATCTACTAGCATTTCTAACTTCTTCTCCTTAAGAAGTCCTTTTACCTGAGACAACATCAATTCCATTACTAGTCATTGTTCTGAAGCCTTATGAAATGGGCAAAAAGACAAGACTTCAAACAAAAAAATAAAATACAATAAGAACATAGTAAAGTGTGCATACCCAATCAAGCAACATAACATCATCATCATTTGCCAACCTAGCAAGGTCAAAGGCCCTCTGTCCAGTAATTAGCTCCAGAAGCATGATTCCATAACCAAAAACATCAGTTTTCTCGGATGATTTACCAGTAGATAGGTACTCTGGAGCTATGTGCCCTATTGTACCACGGACAGCAGTGGTGACGTGAGTATCCTTGTAGTCCATCAATTTTGCTAACCCAAAATCCCCAACAACAGCCTCAAATTCCTCATCCAACAAAATATTTGCAGCTTTAACATCCCGATGAATAATCTTTGGATCACAATGATCATGCAAATAAGATAAACCCCTTGCAGATCCCAATGCAATTCGCTTCCGTGTTGGCCAATCTAGAGGAGGTTGTGACGGTGGGCGTTCTAAAACATGCATCAATAAAACAATTAAGGTAATGATATAATGGCACAAAGCTAGTATTAGAAGGCACAAAGAATGATCGACCTATTTACTAATCAAAACAAATTGTGTCCAGGCAGTTGAAATATCAATGACAAATGCCAATGATAACAAGGTTTACCCCTCAAACATGATGCAACACTTCCATTAGCCATGTAGGGATAAACAAGCAGTCTTTCAGTTGGTGTCATGCAAAAGCCACGTAAGCGGAGGAGATTCCGATGCACAGCCATGCTTATCATCTCAACTTCCGTTTGAAACTGCAACTCTCCTCCAGGTGTACGCTCTTCTTTAAGTCTTTTTACAGCCACCAAGGAGCCATCTGCTAGACGACCTTTGTGCTCTTCCTTAAGTCTTTTCACAGCCACCAATGAGCCATCTGCTAGACGTCCTTTGTAAACCTTACCAAATCCTCCTCTACCCAGAATATTTTTGTTGCTAAAGCTATCTGTTGCAACTTGTAATTCTCGCAGTGAAAACCTTTTAAGCTGTCCTAGATGAACCTCGGGATCTTCTTCAGCTGCAAAGAGACAAACATATTTCATCAAAACATCCTCCAAAGTCTAAATCTGTTTTTGTTTTTTTCTTCAGTTAAAACCCTAACCAGGAACATCAAAGAAGAATTCCTGAGGCTTCCTCCGACGCCACCAAGCAAATGCTAATGCTGGGGCAGCAAACAATAAGGCTGCACCAGCTGCAACTCCTCCAGCAATTGCTCCAGTGGCACTATTACCTCCTGAAGTTAGATGCAATGAAAAAAAATTACCAAGATTAGCAGAGCAGGATATCAAATTCTTGACAAAATATTCACCGGTAAACCAAATAGTGGTCAAAATTAATGACACTAAAAATGGGAATTCAGCCTATGTCAGGGAAACATAATTGAATCAATTACATCAATTTTAATTAATTTAAGTTCTACAAGTTAAAATGTGTTGCAATATATTCTTGTACCAGTATTACTACATCACATATTAAATATTCCAGCCAGTGTGTACAACACAATAATGACAACAAAGCATGCCTTCATATTAATTGACCAGCAGAAGCAAAATTCATATGTACATTTGTAGGATGTATAACTTGGACCACATAACAGTTCAATATTGACCAAGCAATAATAGAAGGAAGAACTTCGCTCATAAAAACCCAGGTCAGCTCACATGCCAAAAACATTGACTGACCATGCTGGAGGCTTAAGAAATACTATAATGTGAGAACATGATCTGAACTTCTTAATTTCAAGCTGAGAATGAGTAACAGATTACCTGGTGTAGAATCTGGAGGCGGTGGGACAAATGGAGGAGGAGGAGAAAATGGAGGAGAACCTGGGCAGGGATGACCAGTAACCGGTCCACAGAGATCCAAGTTGTTAGCAAAACTGAAAGAGAAAAGGAAGAATTTCAGAAGCGCTTTCAAAAGCGGTCCATTAAGGGTAGGTAATTCTCTGATGATTATCAAACCTGATGGGAGTGAACAGTGAGAAGGAACCATTATCTGGAACCACTCCAGAGAGGTGGTTGTTTGAAAGATCCCTGTGTTCCAAAATGCGAAATGCAAAAATTTACTTTTGTATCACACGATTTCTTAAAGAGAGATTTCTTCATGAAACATAGTAAGTAACTGAGCACTCACAGTACTTGAAGTGCTGAGATATTAGTCAATGACATTGGAATGGGCCCCGCCAAACTATTGTTATTAAGCCGACTGTCATAGCACCAAACATGGCAAGAACCCAAAAAAAAAAAGTTAAGCTCCAAAATCAATCAAGAGACGCAGCTTAAATTACCATCATAAGCAGATGCCATAACATTATATTATGGCTAAGGATATAAAAGCCATGTTAAATAAAGAAATTGAATCATTGATTGGCATGTGTGCAGATGCAGGTTAGCAACACTCATGTGCATGTCTAACAGGCAGCAATTGCAATTTATCATTAGATGGATCATTAGGGATCGCTGAAGATTAGGGATTCTGGCAATTCAGTAGAGCCAAGAGCCAACTATTAATTCATTTTGTTTTTCCCCTGCAGTCTAAAAACTACTATAACAAGGTACACGTATCAAGAAGCATGACTAGTAATGGACAAGAATAAAGAATTGATATGCATCTAATAACAATTTTTGGAAACTAAACCACAAAGATGGAGACTGAATATTTTAGGAGCATACTT